AACTCGCGCTGTCTGTCCGGAGTGGCTCGTGGCACCGGCAGTATCTCTTAGAAAACTACCGTGGAGGTCCTTTCCTTCATCCTAGCACCTAGGTCTCTGAACTCCTGTTTTAGCACATTCCAATTTCCTCCTATTTTGTCATTGGTGCCGATGTGCAGTTGGTTTACAAAACATCCCCAGAAATGTCACATCCTGCTTCTGTGATTAGCTGACTAATTTTCCTAGAACTCTGCACTAAGATAGAAGTATAATTTCAGGCATTCCTTGCAATATGAGTTTCATTTGAGAAGATACTCCCTAGGGGCAGGTTCACACTATTTTCCAGACCAGATCTGGTCCGGAAAATGGTGTGAACTTTCCTGTAGTTCCAGTGCATTCCAGACCAGACAAAATAAGACATGCAGTATTTTACATGCAGTAAAAAAAAATGTTTTTAAAGAAGCAGTGGTTTTAAAGTGACATTAAAGGCAAAAATGTTTTTGCCTCAACACAAAGCACTTACCTTAAAGGAGAACTATGAGATGAGTGATTTCCACTCAACTCATAGTTCTAAGCCGACCTGAAGTCGGTATCCGGTCCAGGTGTGGCGTCTTAGTATACAGCTCGCGGTATACTGAGCTTAGGGTAACGGGAGGACGCTAGTTTGTGTCCTCCCGTTACCCTAAGGAGAACTATGGGGAAAAACACTGACCCCATAGTTCTCCTTTAAATCAGGGATGTCTAAACTGCGGCCCTCCAGCTCTGGTGGAACTACGAATCCCATGAGGCTTTGCAAGATTCTCACAGCCACAGACATGACTCCCGGAGAGAGATGCTTCATGGGATTTGTAGTTTCACCACAGCTGGAGGGCCGGAGTTTGGGCATCCCTGCCTTAAATTATGTCTCTTAATCCGATCATCTTCCTCTTTCCTGTAGGTTTCAGCCTCCTCTCCAACGTTGCGGCGAGTCTCTGATCCAGCGTTGACTCCTCTGTAATTGATGGCGCTTCCTCTCCCATGGTGTCTGCATGTGAGTGCACGCGTCCATAGACTTACCTTGTGTCTCTCCTCTAATCCCGGCTGAAAATGTGAACTGTGCATGCGCCCGCCCCAAGATGCTTTGCGGCCGCCCGAGCGGTTTCACATTTTCGGACGGGAGCGCGCAGGGAAGATACAGGTAAGTTTAAACAGCTGTTAAAGCGTTTTTAAAAAAATACTTTTTGCATAGATCTACTGCTTGCTAGCAGTCGATTTATACAAAAAAGCTGAGGGTTTAGAAACCCTTTAACATCACTTAAAGGTTAACAATAAAAATGAAAAATTCCTTCAAATATTGTGCCTGGTGGGTCCCCTTTAACCTGCCTGTAAAGTGGCAAATCTGTATGATGTACAGAACCTGCTGCAGTAAAACTGACATTTCTAAAGAAAAAAAAATGATTTTTTTTTTTAAAGCGTGCAGTTCCCCCTTCCAGACAATATCAGACCCTTTAGGTCTGCTAAGAATGTTAGGAGAGCAATAATTCTAGGGCCAGTATTTTGGGGTATCTCTAAATTGATGACCTGTGGGGGCTTTTAAAGCGTCTTCTATGGACTTTTTGGGGTACTGTGGTTTTTCACCGCTTTACGGATGCACGCAATTTGTAACCTGGGCATGTTGGGTATCGTTTTACTCGTTGTAACCTCATCTTTTATATTTCATTAAAAAAATGGGTATTTTGTTGTGTTTTGGGGCATTTAATTAAATTTTTCACTAAATATTGGGGTTTAATAAGGAGTTGTGCTAATATTGCGCAACATAAAAATTTGTAACTACCACCATTTTATTCTATAGGGTCTTGGCATTCAGAAAATATATAATGTTGGGGGGTTTTAAGTAATTTTCAGGCCTAAAATGTGGAATATAACATGGGTACAAAAAAATGAAAAAAAGGCCTGTCATGAAGGGGTTAATATGGATGCACCGATACCGATACCTATTATCGTTACCGATAGAGAGTATTTGGGTGAGTACTCTTACTCGCCCAAATGCTCTGATACCTTCCCCAAAACCGGAACTTCCGGTCAGACGGAAATTTTCTTCTGACCGGAAGTCCAACGAGGGAACATGGAGCAGACTTCTTGGCCAATCAGAAAGCCGGGTGGTGGGTAATGACTTGCCTCCCGGCTTCCTGATTGGCCGGGAAGCTGGCTCGATGCTGATTGGCTGGGAAGCTATAGGAGCTATATTTAAGCAGCAAGTGGAAGAAACAGGAAGAATGGCAGTTGATCATGCACTAGGGGTTAGATAGAGAGTTGTGTGAACAGGTGCAGCCTTAACATCTGTAGTGTGTAAATTATTTAAAGAATAAGTTTAGCTTTCTGACCATGTTTCATGTTACACCCATACTTAGGGTGTAACATGAAACATTGACAGATTGCAACCTACCCACCCCCAATTACCTGAATCACAGGGTTCTTCTCCCTTCAGGCCACTGTTTATTTTTGGAAATTGCACAACTGTGCATTGCTCAGCCCACACAGCAATGTCATCCATCCACAGGATGGAGGAACTACAAGTCCCGTCTGCCATTGTTGCAGAGGAGCTTGTAGTTTCAAAGGAATACAAGTGTGGCGACATCACTGCACTTGAAGTCCATTAACTCTGCCTCCTGTCCATGTTACTGCATGACCATACCTCTGTACGGGCATGGACTGGAGGAACTGTCTGCAGAAGCCAGAGCATTGCACCTGAGATCTATTGATCACGGTTGCAATGCTTTACTGGTTTCTATGCTAACAAAAAATAAATAAGATAGATAAAACAGGAAAATTGTATTTCATGCTTACCACACTTTTCCTTTCCTGACTAGCTCCATGTCAGCACACAAATGGATACAGGCTCCGCCTCCTTACCTATCTGGTAGGATCGCAATCCCCAGCAACCTGCATTACGTAACGTTGCTAGCAACTCCAGTTGGGCGGGATTTGTGCTGCCATGGAGCTAGTCAGGAAAAGAAAATTGCGGTAAGTATGAAATACAATTTTCCTGTTTTCCCTGACAGCTCAATGCCAGCACACAAATGGAAAATTACTCGCAACACAAGGGAGGAAATGCTTGAACAAGCGGCAAATCCCATATTCGCAAAATCAGTTTTCCTGGGGGTTTTTGTGTTACACATGTGTATATATTAGAGGTGCACCGAAATAGAAATTTAAAAACCGAAATAAAAAAATTATCAGGCCGAAACCAATACCGAAAATGTTTTTATTTTAATTTTTTCACATTTTTAAATATTTTATTTTTATAAACTTTTAAATTTCTTTATATTTATTTTCTTTTTTTATTAAATATTTTTCTTTTTTAATTTACTTTTAGGGGCTTTGGGGAAATATTAGGGGTCTAAACAGACCCCTGATATTTCCATTTTAAAATAGAA